CAAAAATAAAGACTCATTAGGGTTACTGCAAACTAAGGTGGAAGAAAAAACAACTGAAGTTTATGAAGTTAATAAAGAGCATAAGGTAAAAGAATGGAGAGTTGCATTAGGGATTCCTCTTAAAGAAGTAGATTTTCTTTTTGGTTTTTTGAGACAGGGTTTCTCTGTAGCTTCGGGGCCTGTCCTGGAACTAGACCAGACTGAACTCACAGAGCCACTCCCCCACCCCCTCGCCTCCTGAGTGGCTGTAAAAATAGATTTTACTTGTTTTTTATTTACTTATTTTTAATTATTTATTATTTATACAGTGTTCTGTATAATAATGCCAGAAGAGGAAACCAGATCAAATTACAGATGGTTGTGAGCCACCATATGATTGCTGGGAATTGAACTCAGGACCTCTGGAAGAGCAGCCAGTGCTCTTAACCTCTGAGCCATTTCCCCAGCCCCATTATTTACTTATTTTTGAAGTAATTGTAAGCTTACAGCAAAATTGAGCAGAAGGTACATTTTCTTTTACCACTGGGGCAGAAACTGTGAGGGCGATTGGTATTTTAATTTGTTTAATTATAACAACTATTTATTATGTATATGTGTGCTATAACTTCATGCTGTAAATCTCAAATATCTATCCCAGATAGCTGTTGGAACAATCTTTTTTCTTTTTGGTTTTTCAAAGTAAGATTTCTCAGTTTAGCCCTAGCTATCCTGGGATTCTCTTTGTAGACTAGACTGGCCTGGAACACACATTCTCCTGTCTCTTCCTCGCTTTGGTGGTGATTTTATGTTCCAGTAGTACAAGACTTTCGTGAACACACCCACCAGCTTACTTCCTGTGGTTTAAAAAAAAGTTGGATGCTTTGAATCATTGGCCTTTTGTTCCTGCTCTTTTTGTCAGCTTCTAGCTTTTCAGTGTTCTCAATTTTTCACAGGTAACAGCTAATTACTTTTGGGACCTATGCCTTTCTCCGCACCCCTGCTTCCTTTTTCTCCAGCCTTCTCTGTCCCTGTTGGGTATAAAACTTGTGCTCACACAGAGATTATACTATGGAGGCATATGCTATCCTATCCTATTCTTATTTACATATCATTTGTGTCTCTGGTTAAACTTTGATAAGGAACAGAAAACATTCACTTGGTTCACCTACTTCAAATGGAATCGCAAGGATTTGATCCTATTTAAATAATGTTGCTTTTTGTAACAGTAGAGGTGTAGACTGCCTTGGTGGTTTAGTTAGTCTAGGGGTTGTAACCCGCCTGGCTGGGTCAGTTACTCCAGGGTCCCGGAGAGGCGCTATCTGAAAGACATGGGCGAGAGAAAGGAAAGGAGGCCAAGCAGATTTGTCAAAGCCTCTGTTTATTAGCGTCATGGTTGCAGCTTATATAGCTTCTGGATGAGGAATTTGGGGGGGCAGGGGCATGACCAGAGCAGGAAGGGATCTTGCAGCGTGGTTCAAGCAGGTCACGAGGTTGTCGGCCAGGAGGTTACGATCGGTAAGGTCACAATTCCTCAGTCAGGAAGTCACAAGTTGACACTACTAGTTCTCTAGATAGTTGGAAAGTGGGGCGGGTTCCACTAACAGATAACTCTCTATTAACAGATAATTGGGTGTGGGATAGGCTCTGCCAATTTTGGGGGGAAATGGCTCCTGACGTAGGGGAGTTGGTGGTTAAAGTGAAGATACTCCTGACCTTTCCTAAATTCTTTTCCATAAATGTTTGAAGGTAATGAAGAAGGATATTTCACAGCTATACTGTTGAAGAAAGGAAGAGTGAAATTTAAAAGTCAAGAGATTGTTCCATTTCCAAATACTAAGATGATGAGAAACCTTCTATGTGTGAACGTAAGTTTAAGTTTTAGGAGGTGGGTTTCCTGTTTGTGTTTTTGAAGGAATTGCCCTTACAGGTAAATTTATTCCTTACATAGATATTCTTTTTAGTATTCGTGTAAGTGTGTCAGTGGTGTGTCAGGACTTTGGGGACTCAGGTCTCTCTTTCTACCACAGGTTTCAGGGATCAAACTCAGGGTTTTGTAGCAGGGCCCTTACCTGCTTAGCCATATCACTGGGACAGTTCCTTAAGTCCTGTTGTGTATGTCTGTCTGTAAGTGTGGGTCTGGAGGTCAGAAGACAGCTTTTGGGAGTCAGTTTTCTCCTCCCACTGTGGTTCTGTGTATCCATCTCAGGCTATCGGTTTTGTGAAGCAAGTGATTTTAAATAGTCTTAGAACACTTAGATTTCCACATAATTTTAGATACAAGGAAACTTAGCAAAGTTAGATTCTTAACTGATCATATGTTTTCTTGAGAGTATTTCAGCGTTGCCAAGGAGAACATTTGTCCAATAACTTGTCAGAGCAGTGAGGAAGATGAGCACAGCACATAGCTCTAAGGAACACTAGCACTTTCTCCTGCTGGAGGGAGTGGGAAGCAGCCAGTCCTGTAGGTTTGGAGTGAGGAGTCGGAGAAACGTGGTACTCAGCTTGCTTGTTCCCTCACCCCTCTCTTTTTAACCCCGTGTGTGAATGCAAACACCCATGACAGACCTTTGCAAGTTGCAGCCAGGGTTACCCTGTGGGTGTGAATGAGGTTTATGTTTCTGTTAGGGTGATGGACACCGCTGTTCTTCTTGTTAATGTGACAATGCTTGAGAAAAGCAGCCTTGAAAAGTAGGCTTTACCTTGGCTCATTGTTTGAGGATACAAATGCCACTTGGAGTGAGTAAGGCAGGAGCGGCTGGTTACGTTGTCCACGGTCAGAAAGCAGAGCAGTGACTGTTAGTGTTTAGCTTGCTTTCCCCTTTGTCAGTTTGGGGCCCATCTCACACTGGTGCCCCTTACATTTAGGGTGGTCTTTCCAGCTTAAATAACCTAATCTGGAATATTCCTCAGACATTTCCAGAGATTTTCTTGTAGGTGATTCGAGATCCTGTAGAGCTGAGAGTCAGTGTTAGCCATCCTGAGTATGAAAAGGAAGTTAAGTATGTCAGAAGCTTGAGACATAGGCAGGATCCAGATTATAGGTTTGGAAGAATGGATGATACTGTAGGCATTGTAACACAATCTTACTAGTATCTTAATTGCAAATGATTTTGAGTATCTGTGTCAGGCGATTAACAGAGCAATAAATAAGAACTATCTGTGCTTGCAAGTAACCAACTCATGGCTTCATGGAAGGGGGAAATCCGTAGCTGTCCTTTTATTTCAGCTTGGGACCTTTTATATTAGTCTTGTAGTAGCATTCTGGAGAGGTGTGAGCCATCGATGGCCTGGGGTTCCAGGGAAGGGGCTCAGTAGAGGTACTTTGTGACTAGTTCTTGCTTGCTAAATAGTTGTCATGGCTAGGGTTGGCACCTTGTACTTCTTTTCATCTAGGATTGTGCTGACTGTATTGTTTCAGTTGAGTAACTAAATCCCAGCAGATTGACTAGTCTGCTGTTACCAGATCAGAGGTCGGTGGCCTGTTCCATTGTAATTATCCTGTTGTAGGTGAGTGTTGGTGGAAATGAATTCTGCCTCATGACGTCCCATTTGGAGAGCACCAGAAAATATTCTGCCGAACGAATGAGTCAATTAAAAACGGTTTTTCAGAAAATGCAAGAGGTTCCAGATTCAACTACTGTTCTATTTGCAGGAGATACAAATTTGAGAGATCGAGAAGTGAGTAACAGAGTTGGTTCACTGTTTGTGGGGAGACTATTGTTGTGGAAACTAACTTTGTTTTATCAAAGGTATGGACTTGGAAATACATGGTAGAAAACACTGTTGTGGTTTTTATATAAAAATAGGTCTTTACACTATTAAGGGAAATCTTACTACGTGTGCTATCGGCAATATAAAGCAATAAATATGTTGGATAAGTATCAATAAAATAATAATTAGAAGAGCTTTAAAAAGATTTAGGGTATTTGTAGCTTCCCTAGGTTCAAGAAGGCCTAATTCTATTCTGAGTTGAAATTAACTTTTTTAAAACTTACATTTGTTTATAGAACCTAGGGCCTCCTACATGCTAGACAACACTGCTGACCTACAGCTCTAGGATTTTGTTTTTATTCTAAGTTGTATTCTGTATATTTAGATTTTTTAAAATAAAAAGTTATTAGAATTTCATCTTGAATGTGTATATGGTAGTCGGAGCAGAACTTTTGAGACTTGGTTCTCTCTTTCCACCATGTGGGTCCCTAGGCTGGAACTGAAGAAATGATTGAAGTGGTCAGGTGTGTTCTCTACCACACATAGAAACTTTTTGTGTTGATGGAGATTGAACCTGATGTGTCACTAATGCCAACCCTGTAGTTAACTGCTATCCTGCCTTACCAGCCATAAAATTGTAAATTGTGTCATATGAATGGGGGAAAGAAAAATAGTATTATTCGAGTGTGGTTTGTTTATTTTTTATTGTTTTTTAAAATGTAATTTGTAGGCATAGTAGTACATGCCTTTAATCCCAGCACTTGGGAAATACAGGCAGGTAGATCTCTGTGAGTTCAATGGCAGTCTGGTGTACATAGTGTGTTCTCAGAAACCCAAAAATATTAAAAATAAAATAAAAAGTTGCATTATAGTTGATAATATTAAACACATTTTAAATTGTGGTGTGTGTGAATATATGAATCTTACATGGTGTTCTTTCTCTTTTCCAGGTTATCAAATGTGGTGGTTTACCTGCCAATGTTTTTGATGCCTGGGAATTTTTGGGCAAACCTAAACATTGCCAGTATACATGGGATACAAGAAAAAATACTAATCTCGGGATTCCTGCTCCTTGTAAGCATCGCTTTGATCGAATATTTTTCAAAGCAGAGGAGGGCCGCCTTATTCCCAAAAGTTTAGACCTTATTGGGTTGGAAAAACTGGACTGTGGTAGATTTCCTAGTGATCACTGGGGTCTCCTCTGCAACTTGAATGTAGTGTCGTGAAAAGCTTTCCAAATTTGAACTTTATATGTTTGCAGTAGTTCTGGATTCATGTAAATCTCAATCTTTCAGGAAAGCTAGGTATTACACACAAGAATTAACAAACTGGTTCATTAGTACAGCAAAAGCGGTTACATTTTGCTTTGCAGCTTGTGTCCTGAGAATTAAAAATTGGTGTTTGTAATCAAAGCATGCTTGCGTTCAGAATGTGTGAACCTTTGTTGAAGGAATACAGCCACTCAGCTCGTAACAGTGCTCATTGCTGCCATAAGGATTTCAAGTAGTGGCCATATTGTCTCAGGGCTAATTGTCACAAAACTACTGTTAGGATTGTTAGGCTCCAAAATAATATTACCATTTTATCAAGAGAAAAAGCAAGCTACTGAATTCTTGAGACCGCACTGTGTCTTAGGATCTGTGTCTTAGGATTTGTAAGCTCAGAAACTTAAGTGAAAAAGCCATGACCATTTGCATTAGATGATATGTTGTATATCAGACTTAATTCTTGTCAGCTGATAGTATAATTGACTTAGTCATGAGTTAAATTTGCACTTTAATTCCAATAACTTCTGATTAATGTTAATTTTTTCCTGATAAGTGATAAAGTTAAGTTTGGTAATGATTACATGCAGCTTAAGCAACATGGGAATTTTTTCTCAGAGAAAAATTCATGTAGAAAAGTAACCTTTTGGTATTGTTACTGGTAAAATGCAAATACTTTTTAGGAAGTGAATAAAAGTACATTTTTAAAAAATGTTCTGTAAAGAAAAGAAGCAATGTAAATAAAGCATTGTACTTGTTTTTAGACGAGTATGATTTCTCTGTCCATGATGGGATTTGTTGTTGTACAGCCTCCCTCAGATCTTGCTCTTCAGTCAGAATCACCAAGAAATCTGTGTGTTTTATTGTATTAAATCCCCAGCACTTTGAAAGCTATGGCAAAAGGATTGCCATTAGTTTAAGGCTGGCCTGGGCTACACAGTAAGACCCAGGCAAAAACAAAAAGTTCACTTGAAAGAGCAGTGTGGTGGACCTATTTTAGCAGTGTGGTAATGGAGGATGGAGCTTTCTCGCGTGGCACAATTAAGTTTAAAAGGTCACAATATGAAATGTGTGATGTATTATACTATTAGACCTTCAGTTTGTTACAAAAACATGAAAGTATAATTTCTGTTATGTAACCGAAATGCTTTCCTTGTTTATTACTTTTGACAAAATATAAGTCAGGAGAGGAGAAACAACCCTGTAGTCTTTGTTGGGCAATAGTTTTTAAACTAAAACACTAGAGAATGTAGTAATTTGCAATACCCTTAGGTTTGTTGTTGTTGTTTTTTTTTTTTTTTATTTAAGCAGAAAACAAAAACTCCTACCTTTAGTGAAATACCAACTCAAAATTGGTAGCAGACAATTGTTCTGCCACTGAGCCACATCATGAGGCCAGTGATGAGCTGTGCCCCCCGCTTCTATCCCTATCTCTCTAGTCCCTTCAGCCCCAGCTTCTACACCTGTCTCTTCAGCTCCGGCAGACCCAGCTTCTATGCCAGTTCCTTTACCTCCTGCTGCCTCGCCACCTCCCTCTGCTTGCTCTTTGCCCCCCCCCCCCCAACAGCCCCGCTGAATTATTCTTCCTCTCCGGTGCCTGGCCATATCAGCTGCCCTGCTCTGGCACCCACCTTTACCCCTCCTCTCACAGGCTCACGTGCTGCTGTGGAACCTAATCCTAACCAAGCCAAGCCTGCTACAGTTATGTTGTGAGAGGTGGCTGGTGTTGATGGATTGATTAGGGTACATGTTCTTTTTTCACTCTCAGAACTTTCCCATATAGAACAAAAACTGGGGTCCTATACATCTAATTGTACCACTTTCATAAAACAATTTCAATATCTTACCCAATCTTATAATTTCACCTTTCATGACATCTATATGATCCTATCTAATAACCTACTTCCTGAAGAGTGCAGGCGAGTTTGGGAGCAGGCCAGGCAACATGCAGACGAGATTCACCAAACACTTGCCTCCTACTTTCCTGGGGTAGAGGTGGTCCCAGAGCAAGAGCCACACTGGGATTATAATGGATTTTAGCTAGGGACCAGTTATTGACTTGCCTCCTGGCAGGGCTCCATAAGGCTGCCCACAAGCCTTTAAACTATACTAAGCTCCCAGAGATCATTAAGGATATGAAGGAGGGGCTGGAGAGATGGCTCAGAGGTTAAGAGCACTGACTGCTCTTCCAAAGGTCCTGAGTTCAATTTCCAGCAACCACATGGTGACTCACAACCATCTGTAATGAGGTCTGGTGCCCTCTTCTGTCCTGCAGACTTACACATAGACAGAATATTGTATACATAATAAATAAATAAATAAATATTTTTC